ATTGGACTCGAGACAACACAAACTCAACTTCACTGCGAAGGGGAGACTGACTGTCAACAAACAACTTTTCAGTTTCATTCAGAGTCAATTTCAATTTCACAGCAAAATATATTGGACTCGAGACAACACAAGCTCAACTTCACAGTGAAAGGGAGAATGACTGTCAACAAACAACTTTTCAGTTTCATTCAGAGTAGATTTCAACTTCACGACGAATGATATCTACTTCAAAGCCAAACTTCACAACGAAGGGGTCATCTACGGTTTCAACTTCACGGCGAAGAGAATCGTGTCCACCCGCAACATACAATACTTGGATTTCAACTTCACGACGAAGGATATTCAAGTCAAGGCTCAACTTCACGATGAAGGGGCCATCCACGATTTCAACTCCACGACGGTGGATATCGTACCCACACATCCACGATTTCAACTCCACGACGGAGGATATCGTGCCATTTGAGGCTCAACTTCACAACGAAGGGGCCACCCGCGGTTTCAACTTCACGACGAAGGGAACCGTGCACACAAGCATCATCCATCTCTAGATTGGATTTCAACTTCACGACGAAGGATATCCAACTCAAAGAAGGAGTGTCTGTCAACAAACTTTCCAGTTTCAGAGTCAATTTCAACTTCACAGCAAAGGATATTGGCCTCGGAACAACGCAACTTACATTGGATTTCAACTTCACGACGAATGGCATCCAATACCCAGGCTCAACTTCACGACGAAGGGGTCCTATACAATTCCAACTTCACAAACAGATTGACCCAACTTCACGACGAATGAGTCATCTGTAACACATCAACACCAAAGTCTTCAGGTCAAGTTTCACCTTCACGACGAAGTATCTTGAGCCAGAAGACGATTCAGAGGCCACTCGCCAAGAGTTTTGAGTTCGATTTCAACTTCACGACGAATGATATCGTGCTCAGAAGCTTCCAGTTCAACTCGACCTCACGACAGATGAGTCATCCGCAACTCAATTCGACAGAGAGTTATTGAAACATCATAGTCAATTTTCAACTCCACCGAACGAAAAGTGTCTTTTAATGTTTGCCCTATCCCCGTTACACGACTATGGGCAAAGAGGGGCAGTTGTCAACACACTTTTTCGTCCTGGTACAATACTCTCAACAATCCCGATTTAGTGGGATTCAGAAAAAAAATATAACGTTAGAGTTTTACTATGATTCGAACTCCTAAAAATAAGATAGAGTTCTACTAGGACTCAAACTCCTAAAAATAGGATAGAGTTCTACTAGGACTCAAACTCCTAAAAATAGGATAGAGTTCTACTAGGACTCAAACTCCTAAAAATATGATAGAGTTATACTATGATTCAAACTCCTAAAAATATAATACATAAGTATTATAAATAGCCATTGTAACACACGATTTACATACAAAAAAAAATACAGAGGAAAGCACGAAAAAATACAAAGTCAAAGCTATTGTAAACGATTCGAAAAAGAAATAAAAGGTATATCTTTTTTACCTTGATTCGTTCATTTCTCGCATGTGCATGTTTTTTTTCTTGAGATTTGGTTCGAATAACCCAAAACGTGGGTTGCGCCGATGACCAAAAAAAGGTGGGGTTTCGAAGTTTCTACCCCCGAGGCGTGTTCCTGTTTTTTAAATATTTAATTCTCCCCCTAAATCAATTTTTTTCTTCAAAATTTGTCCATCGATTTGTTTTTCGTTTTGATTCGGTCCCTTACATTTACGCTTTAATTATTATTATTTTATTTATTTAACTTTATTTATACGCACATTTCCCTTATTACTCATTTTATTTAATTACTTTGTTGTTTTTCTTTTCTTTTTTTCATGTAATATTTTTTTACATTTTATGTATTTTCTTTTTTTTACTTTAATATATATTTTTATTTTTTTAGATTACATATATAAATATATGTTACTTTTTATTATCTGTTTTATTAATTTATATATATATATATATATATTTACTATTTTTTATGTTTTTATTTATTATATATATATATATTATTTTTACTTTTTTTTATTATTATATTTATTATATTTATATATATATATTTTTTCTTTATTTTATTTATATTTTTCTTTATTTTACTTACTATTTTATATTTGCTTTCTTTATCTTATCTTTTATTTAATTTATTTTTTTTCTTCATTTTAATTTAATTTATTGATTTATTTCTTACATTTTTATCTAACATGGTTTCTTGACTTTCTTAAGGGCACACCTTTAAAAATATCTAAGGTAAGTAATTGGAATTGTATTTTTACCTTTTAATTTTAAATTATAATTTTCCTAATTTAAGACAACTAAAAATTACGTAGTACCGAAAGGGCAGTTCAAGGGTGCTAACCCTTCCTTAACTGTAACCGACTCCCGAATTCTACACATCTTTAAAAAGACGCAGATCAGGTAAGAAATAGGGTATCCGATCAACCTATTTGTTTTAAAATAAATGATCGGTGGCGACTCCAATTCGTTTAATCCAAGTCGAAGCCTAATTCCGGACCCACCCGAAAGACGGTTACGACACTTATATTACCTAGACTCGTTTCCCCCCAATATATCCGGGTTCTATACATAATTGGATTAGTATATAGAAATAAGATCCTCCAAATATATATATAAAGTTAAAAAAATGTATGACATGTAATAGTTTTTGCCAACTTATGAAAAATGAACAATGATTAAAATTCAAACCCAGAACGGGGAAGACTTTCCATTTGTTAAAAAAAAGGGGGGAAATATGAATGATATAATGGACATGAGCTACTTAGACATGTTTAGGGATGGCAAACGGGCGGGTTGGGTGCGGATACCCCTCTCCCATCCTCATACCCACCTAATATTTTTCAATCCACCACCCGCCCACCACCCATGATGGGTACAAATTTTCAAATCCACACCCCCGCGAGTACATTTTCAAATACATCCCCACACCCACTACCCACTAGCGACATACCCATCTAGACCCGCCTGACAGCAAACTAATGGGATGTTGGAGTTGGTTCCCAGACAGTTCGTGATAGGGTAGCAGAGCATGCTTCAATTTGTCAGAGGAGTGGCTCTACGAATGTTATGAAGACAGATTGTAGGGAGCATGTAGTCGTAGAGCTGGATTGTTGAGTTGCTTTCGATGTTAATGCTCATAATGCGCCTAATATGGGTTTTGAGGGGCTAAAGAACATGAAAACTGCTGTTTTGATGTTAATGCTTATAGTACGGATAATTTGTGTTTATATGGACAACATGGGCTAAAGAACATGGAAAGTGACGTGGTTAGTGGAATTATGGGTTTAATTAAAGAGCCGAATATTTCCCTAATTAAAGACCAGATTAAAGACTAAATATCCTTAATATTTGGTTAAATTATATGTTATATATTATACAATATTAAAATTTATAATTACTCTCTAAATTACACCTAAATTCATTATGGTCCAAATTTAATAGATATTTAGTTGGGCGGGCGGATGTGGGGCGGGCGGATGCGGGGCGGGCGGATGTGGGGCGGGCGGATGCGGGGCGGGCGGATGCGGGGTGGATAATGTCTCAAACCCATTACCCGCCCACCACCCACGACGGGTACCACTTTATAAATCCACACCCGCCCACTACACGCTAAAATTATATCCATCCCCACTCCAATTGGAGCGGATGCAGTGCGGAATCCACGAAACTGTACCCGTTTGCCATCCCTAGACATGTTGCTAAGCATTGAAAACACAACTTTTACAGGTAGAATATGGAATCATGCACCAATGCATTCATATGATTTTATTTTAAAACAAGAAGACATGGTTAAGAGATAGACCTCGGTAAATTCATTAAAATCCACAACTTTAAGCCAAGTCCAAAGTTGAGTCAATGGTAAAGCGGTTTATACTTTAAAAAAAACAATGCCAAGGTGTTGCAGTAAGTATAAATTGTCAGAGAATCCATGGAATAAGCTTCCAATCTGAAGAGAACATTTGTAATATTTGAAGAATCAAGGACAACGGAAACTCAATTCAACTAATAATGAAAAGGTAAACTTGCCAACTAAACTAAAACTCCCAACTGACACAAAAGAAGGAAAGCAGCGACCGTCGTCCATCATGAGTTACTTCCTTCAAATTTTGATTTGTTATCGTGGCACACTGAGACCTAATTCTGCTCAAAATGATGGGAAAACGAGAAAAAAAACCCCTTAGATATTAGCACTAGCAAGCATCACAATATAAAAACTAAACATGTTTCTGTAAGTCAATGAATCACTCGTAAAACCAATCACTCGGGTTCGGAAACAAACCGACATAACTAAACATATTCCAAAGGATGGTGATTACTAAGCAGCTGCTATCAAATAGCAGGATAAGAATTATAAGATACGAGCTAACTTGCAAGAACAATTAAACTATAAACAAATACCAGTAGACAAAAATACTTGTATATCAGCCTTTGACGCTAGATCATATTTCAATCTAAAAATCTGAATAAAAAGACAAAGGCATAATCTTTGCATTTCATTAATATATAGACCACTAAACTTCAGAAGAAAAAAACAAATATTACGGATTCTAATGTCCTTAAAATCCCTACAAAAGATGATATCCTGCAACTAAAATTTAAAAGATCAAATTCTTCCTGTAACTAAACGCATCTATCCATTTGTACGAGTCCAAGTACATTGTTTTTCTTGTAGAAACACTATATCTCACAAATTATAATGTAATCTAATTATTCATATCAATAGGAGAACCTATGGCCACAGAATCTGAACGTAAATCAAAAGAGTGCTGTAGATTTATTATGTATGCGGTATTCGTATATCCTAATATCCTACTAGGGAACAGGATGTGCAGAAAGTAATTAACGGTGAACTATATCTAGATGTCCAATCATATTAACGTAGCTGAATAGAACAGAACGGAATCTTCAAATTAGATTAACAAAATAAGAAATATAAATCATTTTCAGTGCACTTCTTAAAAGTTTGTAAAGTAGTACACAACTTTCTCGAACCATGTGCAAGCTCTCCAACTCAGATAGTGTCTTTGTTTGTATCTACCCCTGTTCCAACACACCCAACTTAGAAAATCATCATGCATGCACAGTTATTCTCACTCACTTGTTACTACAATTTAATCTACACTATGTTGTCTAGGCTTTTCTTTTGCTCTTTTGATTGAGACCTTGTTTTTCCTACTCTCTTTCAGAATAACTTCATTTCACACACACACACACACACAAACAAATTATATATATATATATATATATATATATATATATATATATATATATATATATATATTATATATATATATATATGATGAGAAGCTTAGATGATATTGGATACTGGAGTACTGGACCTTGAACTTAAGCCGTCGAGGCACCGCAAAATTTAGTTTCAATCACATACACAAATTTCTCATCATTTCCCCTTTCCCACTTGCCTATTTCTTGCCTTACTTAATTCAGAAGCTCCCTTTCTGCATTTCAGTTTCTCATGGTTTTATATAAGAAAGCTAAACCTTATACATTAAGAACTATAATAATTAATCATATATAAACCTAACCAACAAAGAACATATAAGTGTTTTCAAATTGATAACTTTAGATTGACAAGTGATTGGATATGAATATTGTGGTGCCATGAGGTAAGACGACACAAACAAACAAAGTTTCTTAGTTAATTAACCTTAGTTGAAAAAAAAATGTTGATTAGGGAAACAAATTTACAAACAGTTTGGAGATTATCAAACTCCTGGATTTGCACTGCAAAGCATACCCTGAGACAACGACCTCGAGCACATTGAATCGGTTCCTAGACATGAGGTGAGCCGAGCTGAAGACACCGGTGAGTGGAGAGGAAGCAGAGATTGAAGACAACCCAATTGAGAAACGGACCTTAAAAGTTTAAAAGCACAAAAATTTTGGTGAATTTGAAGGCAACCCAATTTGTTTTTGTTTTTTTTAATCATAAATTAAAAATGGTTTTAGAGGGTTTGCCTTGAAAATGTGGGGGACGAGGGGCGAACATGAAAGTGAGGAGATGCAGGACTGGGTTTAAGGGTTGAGTTGTTTAATAGTGGATTTCAGGATAGAAAATGTTGGCTTTGAGACAGATCTAAAACGCGACGCCATGGCTGAGAAGTCGCAATAGTCTAAGGGCGAGGAGTTTGATGATGACAAAAAGGTTCTAAGGGCTTATATGGGGTTTTAGATTTTTTTCTTTGGGTAAACTCGTCTTTAGTATTAATAGTATCGGTTTTGATTTTTTTAGTATTTAAATTTTTTATTTTTATAAAATCATATTTAATGTTTAATTTTATTTTGTTTTAGGACCTCGTAATACCTCGTCGGTAGAAATTTAAGGGTTTATTTACATGTACACCTTTCTTATGAGTAAATTACATCATTCATCACTTAATTATATTTTCACTCCTATTTTGGTCACTAAAGTTTAACTTTTTAATTTAACTACTTAACTTTCAAATTACTCCTAATTTAATCACTCTAACTTCAAATTTGTTTTTTAGTTTTAATTATATATTGATAAAATAATAATAAATGTCATGTCACAAAAATTTTTAATAAAATAAATTAGAGTGATTAAAATAGGAGCAATTTGAAAGTTGAGTAGTTAAATTGAAAAGTTTAAAACTTCAGTACTAAAATAAGAGTGAAAAGATAGTTGAGTGATGAATAATGTAACTTACCCATAAAAAATAAAGTGCAGTGGTTAAGTATTTAACACGAGGTACTAAAATGAAACAAAAATTAAAAATCATGCATGATTTTAAAATAAATCAAAATTTAAATATTAAAATAAATCAAAATTAATAGTTTATGTACTAAATACATAATTTACCTTTTTTGGTCCGATTTAAACTAATATTATTAGACTATTAGGTGGCGTTTGGTTCGCTGGAATGTTCCTGAGGGAATTGGAATATGTGAAGGAATTAGAATCTGTCAGGAATTGGAATATGTGAAGGAATTGGAATCTGTCAGGAATTGGAATCTGAATCTGAATTTGAAACATGTTTGGTTGGTAGGAAATTGAATTGGAATACAATTCTAAATTCTGTTTGGTTCGCAGACATGTCAGATGAATTTGATTTCAGTAATATAAAATGACAGAATTGTCCTTCTTGGTTTTTTGCTTAATTTTAGTTTGTGTTATAACTTACATGTAGCAATATATTATAAAAAATTAAAAAATATTAAATTTTCATTTTATTGATTGATTATTCATTTCAATAAATTATAAAAATCATGCTAATAAACATCATACGTTAAAATCATCCCAATCAAAATATGTCAATAAGTTACCAAAAGATAGAACAATATTTCGATACATCCCAATCGAAGTATGTCAATTAGTTACAAAAAAATATACAAAAAACTTACAAGTCAAAGAAGGGTTAGTACCCTTGAACTGCCCTTTCGGTACTACGTAATTTCCAGTTGTCTTTAATTAAGAAGATTGTAACTTTAAATTAAAAGGTAAAAACAACGATCTCAATCACTTACTCCTGATGGTTTCGGAAGTGTACCCTTAAAAGAGTCGAGAAGCATGTTAGAAAAAAAGACAATGAAAATAAATAAACTAAAGAAAAATAAAATAAAGGAAATAAAAATAAATGAAAAAGGAAAATAAAATAAAGAAAAGATATAAAAAATAACATAAAGATAAAAAAAACTAAATAACATAAAGAACATAAAAAACATAAAAAAATTAAAAAATGAAGAAAAATAAATAAAATAACCAAAATAAAGATAATGAGCAAAATAAAATAAAAATAAGAATAAAATAAAGAACAATACTAATAATTGTATATACATAATAAATAGAAAAAATAAGAAGAAAATACAAATGAAAATAAATATATAAATAAAACTAATATAAAAAAATAAAATAAGAAAAGAAAAAAATAAAAGAAAAGAAAAGAAAAAAATAAGAAAAAAATAAGAAAAATAAAAAGTAAATATATGAAAAATAATGATGAGGGTAGTATAATCAAATTTCACATTTCCTCCTCAAAAAAAGATTTTATTTCCCTCATGTTATGGATGAAATTTACTTTCCCTCCCTTGATGGAAAGTGAAGTCATTTAGGATTCCAATTCCCTTTGAAAACTTGAACCAAATATGGGAAAGTGGTGGAATTGGATTCCAATTCCCCTAATTCCAAGAGATTCTATCGAACCAAACGCCACCTTAGTGAGAAAAAATTTAGAGAATGACTTGTTTAAGAAGTATCAAGGGAAAAGAGAATATTTTGTATTAATAGTCTGAGTACAAGTCTAAGACGAGCAAATTTCGATTTAATTTAAAAATAATAATTTGATTTAATGTTAATTTTTTTTAATTTGGTTTGATTTAATTTATAGTTTTATAAATTTGATTTGATTTGAAAAAAAAATTAAATTTGATTAAGTTATGAAATATGATTCGGATAACTCGAAATTTTTAATAATTAGTGGATTAATTTTTAAATTAAAGTCTAATTCCTTAACTTTTTATGATATATGTATATCGTATATGAAATATATGTGTCTATCATATATGATTATAAAAAAAGTTGTTTAAATTATAATCTATTAATATCATAATATTATACTTTTAATTAAATTGAAATAAAAACTTAAACAAGACCACTCAACTCTCTCAATTAGTTTAGGAAAAGACTCTACAGACCCAACCCGTCGTATGTATCTGGGCTTCAAAATTAGAGTTAAGGTTTTGTTTTTAGTTTAGGCTTTTGGGGCCTAAGTAATTGGGCTTGGGTCAGTTGGATAGGTTTTAAGGTAAATTTTTTTGATCCTATTGTATTTGGGCCTAGGGTTTAATTTAGGTATTGGGTTGTTGTATGGTTTAATTGGGTAAATAAAATTTGAGCATGTTGTAGGGTAATTGGATTTTGTTTAGGTAGGTGAACGGAGTTTGGGTTACTTGTAGAGGTTCAAACAAAATTGAGATATTAAAATTATGTTAAAATCATGGTTGTCATGTTTGGGTGTATAAGGTATTTATTTTATTGTGTTTAGGTGTATAAGGTATTAATTTTATTGTGTTTGGGTGTTTAAGGTATTTATTTTTTTGCGTTTGGGTGTATGAGATTTAAGGTATTTATATGATTATGTATTATAATCTTGTTGAAATTGTATAGTTATACCTAAAGTATAAACTTGTAGTCATTAAAAAGGTAATGGTAATGGTAAGGCATGTTATCAGAAAGGTTTAAGAGGCTAAGATAAGTAAATTGATGTTCAAAACTGGTAATCTATATGAACTAGTTAGAGTGGTTTTGATTATATTTTTATTTGTATAATGTTTAATTGAAGGAATGAACTCATGTATGTGACTTGCTTGTTATTGATGCATATCGGGTGTATTTTTGTATTAGGTTTTGTCTATTTGAGTTACTTGTTATGTAAGGCGTGTTTTAAAGTTCTCTTGAGGCTTAAGATAGTTAATTTTGTGAAACAAGATATCATACCCAACAATAAGGTTTTCAAACTTTCCAAATAATAGGTTTGGTAGTTTCAAAACTTTATCTTGAGTTTCCATACTAAAATATGATTTTTCTTGAAGATTTTGAAACTTGTGTGCCCATTTTTAAAAGATTATTTATTTGATCCCTTTTCTATATTTAATATAAATATTAATTTAGTCCTTAAATTAATGTAAGAGTGGAGGAAAAGAAGACATAAAAATAAGCTCATACCTAATGAAAATCACGAATGCATGCGACCAATATAGTACCCAATGCACTTTAGGTCTCATATGGCCTTTTAAAATAGACCACGACTATAAATAAAAAAAACTCTATCCGATTTCTTCCTCCTTTTTTTCTTTACAACTTGTATCAATTTTATTGATCAATCTAACTTTTTCTTCTTTAATTTTATTTAACCGGCGACGACATCGATTTTGATGCTGGTTGCCACCCGCAGGTAATTTTTTTTTTTAATTTCTTAATAAGAATAATTATGTCTTCGTGACATGTTATCTACTCTTATGACACGTTTATCTCTACCTTTGAGGCAAGTTTTTCTTTGACATTTGGTACCTTACGGTTTTTTACCGTTGATTTCGTTTATCTTTTTTCTCAGAGTTGGATTTGACATCGCTACGACTGATCAAGATGACACTTATTTGTTATCATAATTATCTTCCCTGCTTAGGACCCTCATTTTAATTTGGATATGCGTTTTGCATTCGTGGATAGTTTTCTCATGTCCCTCAACTCTGATTTACGATTTGTCGGTAGTCTTTCAGTAGTTCTATCACTTTTTGTGGTTCGTTTGCCGATGCAGTCAGATTTGTTCGTATCTTTATTTTGTTCGAGCTTTTTGATTAGGTTTTTTAACCTTTTCCTTCTTTGGTCCTTATGTGATCTAGGTGGCTAGTTTTTGTCGCAATGACAATAGGAAAATGCCATAATTATATTTTAGGTTTATGGTTATGCTTGTAAATCTTCCTTGTAATTTTGGATATTTTTTATTTTTAATAAAACTAGCGACTTTATATATATATATATATATATAAAGACCATGATTGAAGGTAATAATGACAACAAGGGTTAGAGAAGTTTTTAGTGAGTTATAATTTTCATTTTTTAAGAGGATGAAAAAATGAAATTCTAAAATTTTAAGGGTCAAATTTAAAATAGTATTTTTATTTACATGACATATTAACAAACTAATTGGAGTTAACAATAATGACAAGCGTCGATTTATTGTCAAAGAAATATTATTTTTTCTCAAATAGATAATCTAGAAACGTAGTATAGAGAAGAAATGGTCAATCCATAGGGACTTTCGAGATTCTTATGTAGGAAGTTTATTGATTTTGAATTCTACTTCTACGCGAAATGAATAAATAAAACGAGGGTTTTGATTGGAAGAATGAAATGAAAATAATTGTAGAAAAAAGTAAATATGAAAAATTAAAT